CTTTCATCTAATATAGAATTATAGATTATCCTGAGTTGGAAGAGACCCATAACTATCATCAAGTTCAACTCCTGACTCCACATAAGGCAACCTAAAAGTTAAGCCAGGTACCTAAGAAATTAGTCTGAATGCTTGTCACAAACCACGATAGGTTTGGGGTCACAACCACTTCCCTGTGTTTGACCACCACTCTTGGTGAAGAACTTTTTTCCTAATAACCAACTTCCTCTGCTTTTACACCAGCATAAGAGGAAACATAACCCCTGCATAAGCTTCCAAAAAGTCTGTCTCATTTGAACTTCAAGGTGAAAAATATTTTTACTTTATGTAAATTTATTTGTGCATGCTGCTGTGTAAATGAACATTTCTTGACAGAGTTTTAGCTCAAGAAATTTTTCTATAGTTTCTACAACAGGCATATTTCCACAACAGGGATGTAGAATAAAAGGTCATGACAAAGAAACAGTAAAATAGATTTTTGATCTATGGAACTTGAAAGAAAACAAGTCAGCCTTTAATTCTGTGCACAACATGTTAAAATTTCAGGTGTTTTCTTCTCCTGAAGAAAAATATATTTAAGTCAACCCTAAAATTCGCATTCAACAAATTAATGGAAAGTACAACTGCCTTAGGATAGGCTACTTCTATTTATATCAATTATGATAACTGAAAAACATGAATTCTGAACACTTACTGACACTCCATAAGAATAAATACGTTACATTCATAACTAACAGGCAGGAAGGAGCTCCAAGAATCTTGGAAAAGAGTAACTAAAATACTGCGAAATAGAGAGGTCCACCAAAAAAAAAAAAAAACAAACCACACATATATTCTGTGTCAATTCTAAAAGCAGAAATTAACAACAGTTTAATGGCAGAGTATTTCAGTATGCAAGAAGAAAAACTAATTCACAATGTGTTGAAATTCAAGATATCTATAAATCTAAACATAGTCAGATTTTTTCAAAAAAGAACAACCAAGCAAAGCCAACAAACACTCACCATATTAAAAAGCCTTCAACAAAAATTCTCCAGCTATCTCACCTGACAAAAATAAAGAAATCAAACAAGATGAACTCTAAGTTTACAGCCTAAATCAGAACAAATAGTTCCATTTTGAGCTCCAGCTGCTTCTAAAAACAAATTTCTTAATTTCTTCCCAAATATTTTGTTTCCCCTTTTGGTAGAAGAAGAAATTACATCTATCAGTAGCTGAAAATATTTCAGTTATTCAAGTTCTCAAAAGAGAGGTGAAAAACAACAGCACTTTTCCAGTTAAAAAACTGCACACCCCAGAGAAACATTTCAACAGCTTGTACCACAGGTTGGCTTCTGAACACTTAGATCTAAATAACAGTGAAATGTGAAGGAAGGCACTTGGTTAAAGTTGAACAAATAAACCTGACATAACTTCAGGTTATTTTCATTATTACCTCTGAAGGCAGACTAAGTTCTCAGGAAAGAATGTAAGTACTAAGGCTCAAGACAGCTCAGTTTAATTCTTAGTCGAGACACTGATCTTTCTTAGATTACAGGTATTCTGTATGCGGGTATTCCACACGTAGAAATTATCATTCACCCTCTACCTTTTTATCTTTTAAGAGAATAAGCAGTCAGCCTGCGACTCATCAGATTCCTTGTACAGGGGAGCTTCTGAAGGCAAAGTACAGTTATATACAACAGTGGAAGACATTTGTAATCTGATCCTATCAATGATCTCCACATACTGAAGGGCATTAAGGTTAGAGAACTAAGAAATGAGCCTGATAAAACCAATTCCTCCCCATCAGTACCGCATACTACTATCTTTCCATTACTGAGGTAATTAACAAAGCTTCATATCATAACTCACTAGACACATAGAGCCTGTTTAGTAACTTACACCAGTACCATAATTCACAATACACAGCCTGTAGCTCAGTATCCAATGCAAGCAAAAATAAAATAAAAATAAGTCACAGTAATGACTACAAGTCCAAAAATTTTAATTGGAGCCACACATGAATCAGGAAGATAACACATCACATTTGAATTAAAAAGTCCAAAAAGGGTTGCATTATACAACCTGTATCAGATTCAAGCTCAGTTACAAGGCAACATTAAATACACACCAACTAAAGACAGGCCTGCAAGAGCAGACTGCAATTAACTGCAACAATATTTCTTGCTCCTTCCTCAGGAAAAGCAGTCAAGAGAGCTCTGGAAGGCTGTTCAAAAGAACAAAGAGTACACTAAGATGTGACTATCCATGCGGAAGTTTAATCAAAAAAAGGAAGACTTGCAAAGGTATGAAAGCTAATTCACTGTCCAGGTGAGACTGATACAGTGACTATAACAGTCAGCTACCATCAGCTCTTCTAGAATTCTTCACCAAAGTATCTGCTCTAGTTTGGTTGGGTTCTCAGAAACCCTGTCCTTCTGATCGCTGTATGAGAAACTCCAAAATAGTATTCCTATCATCTGTCACACTGTGGCTTTTCTTCCTCTTTCCTCCATACAGGAATACTGCCCACAGACACTATTACTCTTATTTCAGAAAAATATATGGCATGTCCCTTCTCACTGAAGAATAACATAAATAAACCTAAGCTGAAGTAGGGATACCAAAGAGCAGCTGATCCTTAAGGAGTTTATATTGCTACTCCTAAAATCATAATCCTTTGAGGCATGTTGTACAGACAAGGCATATACTGAAAAACAAGGCAGGTTTATGCTGTTATTAACTACCAAATGTCACATGTTGTACCTTCTAAATCAAACAAGAAGGCTCAATAACTTAGTCCTGCTATGAAAATACCTTTTTTAAGCACAAGGGATTCTATTTCTGACATGTAAACTCATTTTTTAATACTTCCATGGACAAATGGGAAGATTAACAAAGACCATTCAATTTCAGTAACTATTCAGTAACTATTGTGTATAATCAAGACTATTGTTTCAGTATCTGATTAAAAAAATGTTTTCTATTTTCTCTTTATTTTAAGAAAGTAGCCATAGAAAATGAGAAGAGCACTGGCTCAATCATATATTATTTCATGTACAACAAAACCTCTGTGTTCACTGCCTAATAACTCCATTCATACTGCTGCTAGCTATATAAGCACAAAAGCAATCTTCCAGCAAGGGATAGAAAAAGTTTGCTTTGCACAACTCATCCCCAAAATTCAGCCGGAAACAAATCAAGGTCCCACATCATTCAAGGGAACATAGTCTGGTCCTGGTCTCAATTGAAGAGCTGCAGATAAAACATCCTAATTCTTTCTGAAGGACTTAGTGAAAGCCGCATTCTTACTGAGTAAGAATGACTTAGGGCTTGTGAGCAGATAACTTTCCTTCCATCTTAGCATATTTTCTTCTGATGAGAACTTAAAGGCAAAAAGCTGTAACATAACAACAAAGCTCAATTCCATGGCTCAAATTCAGAGTTGAATCTTGAATCCTTTAAGTTTGCAAGCACTGTAACCTGTAACTTCAACCTAACATGTTTCCAAAATTGAGCACTAGTCTAATATAATTATTCTATATCATGTCAGCCTCCATATATTGGAGGCCACATAACTTACCACCTGAACTACAGATCACTGTGGTGTGGGACAGCATGCTGGAGGATAAGAACTGCAGTTTTTTCCATTACTTCATTCCTTTCTTCAAGTACACTCACTAGCTTATGGAAAATACTTTATCAGGCAAAGTCAAAACAACAGTCTGTCTGCTATAAACGTAACATTTTTTGATTCCTTATGTAAAGTTTTAAAAAGGACAAAAAAAAAAAAAAAGGGCCAGTCTTGCACAATAGGCAAGACAAAACAAACCTTCTCATCCCCAGATTGAGCCTCTTCAAGTTCCTTGCTGCTTTCACAATTTATCCCCACCTTTTTCTAATAGGAATATGTTCCCCTTATTCCCTGCAGTTTACAAAAGAGGCACAAAGAACCACAGCTAGACAGCAGTTTCCCATTCCTGCACAAGCAGCACACAAACCTTTAAACCATTTGTGCTTTGAAGTGTATTCTATCAAGCAACCTCACAACTGCATCCAATAACCCATCACTCAAGTACTGGCCCCACTTCACAGATTGCTGCTCAACCTAAAACTATCAGCCCTTCTCCTGTTAAGTTATCTGCAGCGATTACTGAACTGAATCAGGAACGAGAAGAAAAAGAATAAATAAAGCTTTTCTTAACTGCTTTTAGGTCAGTGCTAGACATTCAGCCGAGATAAATCCCTGACTTCACACGCCTGCACTCACTCAGACTCCCAGCTTCTTCTCAGAGACACATTTACTTCAGAAGCAAGTCGAAAAAACAATTAACCCACAGAAAACCACCGGGGGTGGGAGGGGAAGGGTTTAAAAGTTCCCGAGCTATCAAGGACTCCCAGCGCCCTTCAAAGCCAAAGACGATTATTTTTAAGCACTTGAAGACCGCCGGACATCATAAAGCCCTGCCGCTGTCACGGGGCCACTCGTGGGGGACGAACACGAGCGGGGGATGAGCCCCCGGCTGGCGGCTCCCGGGAATGGGTGCCGTGTTCCCGCTGCAGCCCGGCCGGAGCGCCCCGAGGCTGCGGGGCACAGCCCGGGGGCCTGTCCCCGGCCCCACGCGCGGGGGGCTCCGCAGCCCCCACCCCGACCGGCGGGGAAAGGGGGACGCGCCGCGGCTTCGGCGAGGGGCCGAGGCCGGCGGGAGGGCTCGAACAAAGCTGAGGAGGGAGGGCCCCAGGACGGGCAGCCCAGCCCGGCCAGCGGAGCGCAGCCCGCAGCCCCGGAGCGACCCACCGCCGCCCCCGCCGCGGCCGGCAGGAGAAAGAGGTTTCCCGCAGGGCAGCGCCGAGATTATCCCCGCGGGAGGGAGACCGCTAAAAAGCGGCTGCTCCCCGTCCGCGCCCCTCCTGGTCGGGGAAAAGACCCCCTGAAAGCCGCCGGCCGCCCTTCCTTCCTCCCTCCCTCTCTCCCTCCGCGGCGGCCGCGGGAGGCTGGAGCAGAGCCCCGCACCCACCTGGCGCCGCGCTCCGTCCCATCCCGATCCCCCTCCCGCTCCAGCCGCCGCCGTTCCGCCGCTCCGGCCCCTCCGCCTTCGCGGGCTAAGCCGCCGCCGCCCCGCCCCGCCGGCCGATGGCCCCGCCCCCTCACCGCCCTTATGGCCCGCGCCGCGAGGGGCGGGGCCAAGCCCGCCAATGGGGACCAGGACTCTGCCGCGCCGCTCGCTGATCGACGTGAGAAATGTCCAATGGGAACGCCGGGAGGGCGGGGACAGCTGTCAATCAGCGGCCCCTACCTGGGGCTCGCCAGCGGCCGGGGGCGGGGAGGGCAGTTTGCTCCCGCCCTCAGCCCTTCCTCATCCCTGCTTCCCTCCCTCCCTCCCTCCGTTCCTCCATCCCGGTGGCCGGCTTTGCCGTGCCCGGCGTTCCCTCCCTTCCAGCCCAGCCCAGCGCTGGCCTGGCTGTCGCCGCTCGGTGGCCCGAGACCCTGGTGTGTGGGGACTGTCCCCGGGCTCCTGTCTGCCGCCGAGACCCACGTCCCACTCGGGAGCAGCCGCCTCTTCTCCCCGGCGCCACAGCTGCCCCTTCCCCGCCCGGCCCCGGCGGCAGGACAGCGGTGCCCGGTGCCGCGCAGCCCCCGGGGCCATCTGGCGTCTCCCCCACATTGCTGTCACCCACCCACCTCCCCGGCCCCTTTTCTGCTCGCAAGAAGCAACGCCTCTGCCCTCATTCCACAGGCGTCCACCCCCGCTGCCCTTTGCTTGCCCTTGCGACCCAATTCCTGCTGAATCCAACTCCTGGTCATCCAGGCCCCCGAGAGATTCATGTTTATACCGGCAGGCACCCTACAGCAGGGCAGGTGCTTGGCGAGGGCTGCAGCTGCTGACCCAGCCCAAACAATGTGCCCTTTCCTTCCTTGCGAGAGTTCTCATCCTTTGTGGTTGTCCCTATGGCGGGGGCTTTTGTTGCTTGCTGCAAAGCCTTTAGAAAAAAAAAGTAAATGGTACTTTATCGTGTGAATGAGATTTTGGAGGGGCAGGGTGGGTAGAGCGATTGCCAAGCCAACTTTAATGGCTCAGGGTGCTCCAATAAAAAATGATAACAAACGCAGTACACCCAAACCCAGCAAGCTCACGGAGATCACGACCAGCTGCCCTGCCTAAGTTAGCAGGCTGTCCAGATCAATGGAGGCTTGCTTGGCCTTTATTTGGAACAGACAGCTCAGAAACTCCACAGTGATCATGACTCAGAATGATGCTCTACAGAAGAGCACTAGGTAGCAGAGCCCACTGCACTGATGAGTAGCCAATCTAACCAGCTCAGCCGCTTGTCCATATCCTCGGATGCTCAGGCTGCTCCACTCCAGACACTTGGACCCTCACAGGTGGTGGGGCAGTAGTGTCTGGAGCTGTGAAATAATATTGAATAAATATCATTTAGTCAAGAGATAATCATAGTTGAAAGTAGAGGTTATTGAACGCCATCTCAAGTCAATCACGTTTGGCAACGAAACATTTACTGAACTCACTACTCAGTTTTACCGCTGTCTTCAGTTAACCACATTTTGCCTTACAGCAAAGTTGCGGGCTCAGGAGCACCTCTTTTTCACAGACATAATATGCAGTATTGCTATAATTTTCAGAAAAATTATTTGCATTTAAGATACTGATATCAGTTGTGGTAAGAAGGAACAACTGAGAACCACTGCTGTAATCACTCACGATTATGTGGCCAAAAGCAGCAAGCCAGCTTTGAAGTGCAGATGGTGACAGTTTTATGGTCGCTAGCAAAGCAAACAAAAAAGAAGTCATTAAGCAACATAACCTTAAAAGAAGGAAGCAACAGGCTTTTTACTCAGCATATGAGCTCAGTGTTACAAAAATCCTAGGAGGAAAATAGTCTCTAGGTTTTGAGAAGAAGTTGTTCTCTGTTCAAACTGAGAGTATTTTCCCTAAAACATGTATGCAGCAAGAGGAAACTCTTCAGAGACTGTAAAACAAAACAGAGGGGAAAGAACCTGGTATTGTTAAAATACAGCTGGATTCATGTTCATTCAGTGGTACTTTTTTTACGCTGAAAATGGGATCTTCAGCTTGAAAAATATTAGTTTCAAACAGACCTATCTCTGCCAGTATTCTTTTTCTGCTCTATCAACACAAGTAAGTAGCCTTTGTGATGCAAGGTATTAATTAACATTTATTTAATTCCAGCTGCTTTCCAGGCTCCTGGATTCCTTCTAAGCTTTCATTTTTCTCCTCTGTATTCATGACATTTTTTATGCTATTTTTAATAATATCTACATCTCATAAAAAAAAGGAACTCAGGCACACCTTTATTACTGCTGTTGTGACCTTGCCTTTGAATCTGCAAATAAAGCAAATCTGCCAAACAGTTTGCATTGAATCCGTATTGAGTTTTCATTAATAGGAAAAAAAAAAAAAGTGGTTAAATTAAATGCAAGGAATAACAGAATCAGCTTTTGTCTGAACCAGTATTATTTTTAAGTTAAATCACGCTTCAGAAAAGCCCTCTGAAGGCCGTTAGATACAGGTTTGGACTGGCATACCAAGAGATGTCCAGGACTGATCTTCTATTAGTTTCACTTGGAGGAAGAATCAGGCTTCAGAGTAATGACAAGGGAGGGTTAGTGGAGACTGAAGCCCAGATGAGTTACTAGAAGTGAGCATGACATTTTCTTAGTCTCTGCTTATATCACTGGTTTAGATAAAATTTATAAGGACCTCCTTTTCTTGAATAGTTAATTTCACAAAAAAAAAAAAAAAAAAAATTCAGCATAAGAAGAAACAATATTCTGAAAGTCTGTTATACATCTCGTTGGTTCCTGCTGAGGAGCATTATTTCATGATACAGAAACCTTTGTGTCTCTCAGGAAACATGAAACTGCTGAATAACGGTAAAATAAATAGTGTTACACAAATGATTTACAACTCAACCAATAAACATTAGAGCATCTCTGATTATTAATGGTACATTGATGGGCCCCTGCAGAGTTTCTTGCTGAATCAGCTTTTGAAATAAGCTGCTTTCCCTCCAGTAGCAGCCGCACCCCAGAGAAAGGGGAACCATGTTTTGGCTGAGGTAATTGGATTAGGACAGCTAGCAGATACAGGCATTGCACAATCTCAGATGCTTTATGCATTTCTACGTGTCTGTTAATAGAGTTTATTTTCCACTATCACAAAACTATTTAGCCTTGATAAGGCTGTGTACGTGCTTCTCATACTATTCATATTTTCAATGTTATTGATATTACCATACTACTCATATTTTTCAGGAATATTTTCCTGAGACTATTAACTATTTTGTGTTTTCTTTATTGTTTTCCTCTAATATACCTGGATTGCTGGAATACTAAAAGACTAGCATAAAATATGAAACCAAGATGCAACTAGATCCTCAAAGGAAACATTCAATATAAGTTCAGTGTCACTGTGTAATCAATCTTGAGGAAAAAAATGCAGAGAAGCAAGAACAAAAGGAAGCCTAATAACTTTTCAAGACAGCTACTTTCATCAACTAAACAAGAGTTGTAATTCTGCCAATTAATAGTAAGGTCCATTAACTGTAAGTCATAAAACCTATTTGCTATGCAAAGTACCTGTGTATGTTTGCTGGCTCTGACATTTTGGGAGGGCAGTGTAGCAGGACATCCTATGAAGCAAGGACTGATGATCTATAGCAGGAGTGGACATAGCCGCTTAATGGTTTTACAGCATTGCCAGTTGAACAAGCTCCCTTTATAAAAACAAACACAGGAAAGACATGATTTCAAGTTCCGGGAGAGATTAAAAAATTATATACAGAAAGCTGTAGCTAGTTATACACTGTTGATTTAGTACAGTGCAGGGCACAACTAGGACTAATGGGGTCAAGCTAAGAATCAAGAGCCAGAGGGGATGGGAGTGGAGGGGAGGGGAATGGAGGGGAGGGGAAATTACAAGGATAGTTGGGTTTCTACAAACAGGACTGTGTGAAATGTTTCAAAGCATACCATACTTTTCCATCAGCTAAGAATGAGCTGAATTTTATTTCTCCTGTCTGGATTCACTGTAGCCATATGCTTTTTACAGACCCAGCAGTCCTTTCCTAAACTTCTATGCTTCATTGTATTATGACCACCAATCATAACAGGGATATAATGTCAAGGGGAAAAAAATCTCTTATATAGGTAAAAACAGGCTTTCCTGGATAAAAATAAAAGGGTAAGGAATAACAACATGTTGTTCAGTGTCTTAGGATTTATGCAGCTGAGTTCTGGGAAGTCCCTAGCTGCTTTCTCACCCTACTGAGCCCATAAACAGACACGGATAGTGAAAGATTCATGATAACTATGTTGGACTGCTCCCAGCCTGATGTCCAATAGTTATTGGTAGCCTCACTCCACCTGGATTGTCTGTCTCTCTTGTAGTATCAAGTGTAAAGTTTACCAGCACAGATTGCAACCATCCATTTCCCACTGACTTTCAGCAAGAGGCTATCATCTGGCTCCCTTAAGTCCCTTTAGAAATCTTTCTATCCATCAATAGAAAAGAAAGAGTGTCTCAGTGTTGTACTCCATTAACATCTCCTGCTTTGGGAAAGGCAGGGGAACAGTTAGATACAACCAGAGCATGAAGATAAGCTATCAGACCAACATGAGACTTTGGCTTATGTTTGAACCTCTGTGATTTGCCTTAGATATGAAGGTACTTTGAATGACGCATGGATGTGCAAAACTTCAAACCCAACCAACCTTGTTCAAGATCTCGGAATGTCCCAACAGCATCCCACCTCTTTGGACAGACATTAGCTGCAGTGAGGGATGTAAGATAGGGTAAGGGAAGGAGATGGCTCTGATGAAAGGGTTAGTTACATTATATTATTTTTCTTCTTTGTATTCAATTATAAAAATCATAGTGGGTGCCAATAAAAAATGTGCTCCTGGAATTGTTTGTAGGCGTATTACATAGTAAACAAACATAGGGAGTACAGTAAAAAATAAGAAACATATTAAAAATGTGAAAGTATCCCACTCTTCCAACTATGCAGGTATGCACATCTCATCAGAATAAAGCTGCCATGGG